ACATAGAAACTGAAGCTTAACACAGGTAAATCTGGATGGATGTGCTTCGGTAATATATCCCTCAATCTATATCTTACCATAGATAGTAAGGTATTATCTAAGTATTAGACTTTGGATGTAGGTACTCCTACGATTTGTCCATTACAAAACAGGTGTTGAAACAGACCTCCAAGTTTCACCGTCTTATGGGTTGCAGAATTCGTAACTTCTAGAACAATGAGCCACGTATTTCGATGTATAAAATGTGTTCGACCGCTCCTAGAATACTGTGCGTTTATTCTTAGTAGTGTTCGCATAAAGGATTAATTAATATTGGAACCCGTTCAGAGACTATTTACCATTCTTATTCCTGGGACTGGGTGCATCTTAAATTATAAGTCCAACTGTAATAAACTTAAACTGGACTCTTAATGGAAGAGGGGACTCAAACTCATTGTAATCTTTCTCTTCAAAATATCTATTACACTATCCTATGCACCCACTGAAGTAATTCAATAAGGAGAAATTACTAGTTACGGCATCCGTAACTCCTTCTCATTACTGAAATATACATGTTCTAAATCGTCTCTGTTTATGAATTGCTTCACCAGTAAATTTCCCAGACTCTGGAATAGTCTATCACAATCTATTCTCAAGATAAAATCACTCCCATCCTTTGTTCGCTGTATTGATGTATACTGCTTCTCTGTAAATACATTAAATGTTCTTACAGCTGTAAGTGTATTATATTCCATAAGTAAAAATCAATAAGTGTTTTCAATTTAGAACCAAATATTATTCATTATTTGAGAGGAAAACCGATCAACTAGGAATTGTCGCTACAATAATTCATATTGGGACTTACTACTTTTTAGTTAAGTTGTAGTGAATAAGTACTTCAAATATTATACCATTCATATATTGTTGTGTCTCGTTTGAGTAATGTTGATTTATTACTAATTTATATCATAAGTAAAGTGTTACAAAAGTCCACTTATCACCTAGAAAATTCATTTAATTGCGTTTAACCTCACGATTCAGAAATATAATTTAAAACTAAATGCTCATGATCTCACAGTTAAACAGTGACCACTTATTCGTACTTTGAAAAACTACCTGTCAAAATTGATTATTTGTTAGTCTGATTGTCCGGTACTGATAAAAGTGGTTTGTGAAAGATGAATAGAAACATTTTGGAGGCTTTCCAAGTTTTTTTATAAAGACTGAATGTGTACTGTAAGTTTAGGTTAACTTAGTTATATGATAGAAAGGAAACAATATCACTAAGTGTTCAATTGGTTTGCACTTGGATAACGTAACCATAAATTCTCCACAATTAGATCTGAAATGATCAATGGTTTTCATTTTGTTTATCTAAAGGCGGAAAAACTGCAATGGTTTGTATTTCAGAAATGCTAATTATTTGAGACCGATGGCGATAAATGTCAAAGATTAAAGACTACTTGTGGTGTCTGTATGAACTAATAATTTTTTTGTACTTGATGACTGCATGATTTTGAATTCCAAATACAAAATTCATCACAAAACGAACTGGCAGAGATTTCCCTAGAAAAACAATGTGAGTTATGGCATAGCATTTACGGCAATGATCAATGTCAGTTTGTAAGTACATATTATATTCCAGCTACTAGTGATTCATATATCAGATGCCAAATGTAGTACTCGATACTGCTCCTGGAAACATGATTACTCAGATGATATTAAGAAAGATAATGTAGACTCAAAAGCATGCCAAATCTGTGAAAAACATTTAACGGTATTCTTTGAAAAAAAAGAAATGCTAACTACTAAACATTAACGTCGCAGATAACTCGACATCATTTAGTGACATTCACTTCAGCAGATGTACAGTATTACGGGAAAAATTAATGATAACTATCTACAAGAACTATGCCATACAACAAATATATAATCCTTATATCCAGCGAGTAGAAAAATTGTATTTCCAGCATTTCGAGACTTAAAGAAAGCCACTTCCACAGGGTAAATATTAATTTTCTAACCAATAGTCAATTTATCTGAAACTATCAAATCGAACATTGACACTGAAACCTATAAATTCAATATACTAGACAAAATAGGAAATTCAACACACTTGACTTAAATAGTTATTCAGTTCAAAAAATAACAAACTGATGAACAAATATTCAATTAGTTAGCCGGCCGAAATACAAATTGTATTGATTCTCTTATTGATAGTAATATTATTAAAGATTTCGCACTTCAGAAAATGACATGAATGAAAATATGGATATAAAATCTTTATGGATGTTCGGTGAACTAGTAAATGAACAGTGAGTGCAAGTCTGAATATATCTCGAGATCACTTTTCCATATTCTCATAATAATCACTCATAATAAATCCAAGGTTTCCAGTGTATTCAACAAATCGGTAAGTATAATGACGGTCAAATAGTTTATCTATAAAACGTCTCATTGTACATTTAGTGTGAGCATTAAAGTGTTCTGTGTTTTATTGCTTAATTCAGTAATAAATTCACAATTCTCTATTGACGTATAGACTGTTTGTAAAGAAGTTTCCATATCATCATTTCAAAGTGGATGAACTGTGCAGTTTTATTGTGGTTTGAGTTTTGATATGGTTAAGTTTCATCTACTGGATATGACTACATTCACAAAATTAATGGATTGTCTAGGTACAATCGAAACTATCACATCACATCTAAGACACTGGTGTGATATTATGGTGTTTGCACTTACTACTGATTCATTAGTATGTAGTGACTCACATTTATCACGAGAACACGACTGGTTTATTAAAAACAATCATTATTATAACCAACTGTACTAGTGTTTGTTTAATGTGCTTTTGTTTGACTGTGCTAATGACGGCTATTTTGTGCTTCCATTCTTATACTTACACTTTGATTGTAACTTCGCGCGAATTCGGTTACGTTCTGTAACCAAGCTTCTATCCTGGCACGATCTCGGTATCCTTTCGATGCCACGAGATCGCCAGCGAATATATCTCGATTTGGTCCATTAACTGCCTTCTGATATTTGGCCTCTCGGGAATTTTATGGATTTATTTGGTTACGTTCAACCTACGCCTTCTGCTTTACTTGGCACGTGTTTCTTGGTAGCGGTGTTCATAGTCAATTTTGAACTGACACCACGCCACAAGTACTTGATTACGCACTGATTACGAATTCCAAATACAATACTTTCATTTGTGTTCATCTAGTTCTTCCTGTTTTAAATTGCACTAATTCACGAATTCTTAGTTCGTACATGAATTCGAACACTTCTAATTATCACCTGAACAATGAACTATTACAACGAACTCACAGCCAATGTATATCAGTAAATAAATCGAAGTTTCAAATCGTTTTAATAAAGAAATAGATCAATATAAAACAACATTTGTTGAGTAGTGTATTACAGATCCATGCATTTTGCAGTTCATTAGAGAATAATGTACTACTTGTTACGTATTTGATCCAGAACAAATTTGTCTATTTTCTCATCTAATAGGGCCATAATTTTTGCTTTGACTTTTTGAAATTCTGGAGTCTTTTTAAGCAATGCCAAATCTTTTTTATCTTTTTCTGATAGACCTGGATTAGCTAGAAAACATATTTCAGTGTAGACAAACAAAGAAAAGAGACAAATAGAGGTGAGCAAGCAAGTAGAATATTCACAACAGTCATTGTCAATATTCAGATTCCGATAATGTCTTATCGATTGTGCTGTGGAATAGGATTGGGTGCCGAGCAGTTTTATGCTTCATTGGATGTGTATTCTGTGATCTGAATGATTCCATGTATAAAGAACGATTTATTGTTTGCTGTGGATAGCAACATATCAGTTCCACTTCTAATAGTTTCTATTCTGTTTTGAAGAATATATTATGGCTCATAAATAATGCACTTGGAATGTTCCTCATAGGAGGAGTGAGATTGCAAGTTAACATGCAATGCAGTGATACGATGAATCTGACTATCGTTTTGTTGTATTGGGTTACTAAAAATTAACTTCCTTGTGACTACACATTCAAAGAACAACTTTCCAACTAGAAATGAATGATGTATAATATTTAGAAATATAACAGTGAGTAGTCCTAACGTTTAACGCCTGAATCCGCCTATATTTCACTAGTATGTCTTGAGTGTTTGATCACTTGAGAAATAAATCAGGCAGTTTTAGTAGTATTCCAAGTTCATAAACCGAAAAGTGACAATGCTCTACAGAGAATACCTGGTTGTCTCTAGAGAGAAAAATACTCAGTGTATTTATTCTCCATTCAGTACTCACTAAAAGTGTGACTGAGATTTGTGGAACTATCCAAGAAATACATGTCATCAGCAATTATCCATTGTCTACAAAGCAGAAGTTCCACTTTAGTAGTTTTTAAGTCACGAACTAATCTTGGTTGGACCAGCGTTGAAAAGACTTGTATCACTGGATGTTCGTTTCATCCCACTATAGGTCATCTCAGCAGTAATCATTCATGACCACACACCTTGGAATAAAAAAATTACCTTCGGTCTCACGTGTGCGTGTCTCACTTCTAGACTAGTGTTCCGACATCCTACGGTGATAATGTTGAAGTTTAATGAATTCATAACATTTTGCAACCATCTTCCATCACCTGGTGGACAACTTTCCTATCCAAAATGGTCAAACTCCACTGATCACTGCTTCTTACTAGCATCCTATGAGTTGAATTTTACAACTAGCCATTAGTGGGCGCGTGATTATTATCCACAAAATGTTTTGTGCAGTTCGTCGAATTTCCATAGTTTTTAAATCACGAATCGATCCTAGTTAGACCTCCACTGGAAATCCGGAAGAACAACTTATTACAAATATACTATTACGTTTCCCTCATTATTCAAAATCACAGTCAAATTGGACTTATCAAATGTTCTGATCGCAAATGCATACACGTCAGTATACTGCATTCACACAAGTGTGATGGGAGTAATCATAAGGAATACTACTTGCAAGACTCTTCCGCATTCTAATACGATCAGTTATCAACAAGGTTGAGAATGAAAATTTACTGATTTCCACTCACCTTGTGGACGTTGTGAGCAAATCACATCCAGGGTTATCAGGAAAATGACAAACAGATATTGGATCTGAAATGAAATGTGAATAAGGATAGATTCTGTGGTAACTGTGGCAAGAACATGATAAATTGTAATAGTGAGGGATTGTGTAGTAATTTGTGTGTCACCACAGTGAGGCATTATTATGATGAAGTAAATTCGGATGACAAGTGAATGAAATGGAAACTATACAGGCATCATTTACAAGTATGAGAAGAAGATTGTGAAGAAGTACATTCGAATCGTGTCAGTTATCAAGTTATTTCTACGTACACATCGTTAACTGTGGACTTACATGCATTATGTTTGTTGATGGTTTATCGTGTTCTATAACGACATCCAATTCTTTCTTCTTATATAGTTTGAGTTCCACATTGTCAACACATTCTCCGTGTTTGTTGTTCAATGACATTGAAGTGTCGCGAATCAGTTTGCTGAAATCGAAATACGTTACCTTACTGATTGTTTTCACTTCCGGTGGTCGTATATTGACGAAAATCACTTATGTGTAATTCATCTGTTTTACAGTTCAATGTGCAAACATGTGTTTGCTCTAGTTTTGCTCCTAATAATGATTATTAGAGTAATCTAATGAATTCCATGATAACACATTGCAGTAAACTCTTCATAGATTAGTTTCATGTGATACTGGGATTATGTCACAATTATTGAGTTGACACTAATTTTTGTACATTTCAGGCGTGACTACGAAGAAACATAAAATTACTGTTGTAAGCAGTATTTTTGTGTTCCTTTAATATGTTTTATTGTATTTGCAACACTTAGTTTAATGTTAAACGCTTAGTATCAAGCTAGTTGTTTGACATGATTCACTTTTATTTTTTATCATTTAAATACAATCTAAATGTTACTTTCGTTCAGTATGGAAATCGCTTTAATTTTCAACGAAAATTTAATTTGTTTGGTCGTACATTATAGTTAATACTTTTAAATTTATCAAAGATCCAGTTCTGTCTGTTTTGACTTGTCGTCAGTTGCCAATGAACTCTTTCCCCTCATTCAAAATTACGTATCTTAGTTTCAATATATAAAGTGAAACGCAGTATCCAGTGGTAAATCTTCTACATCACTCTATAAATTCGTAACACTGCATTTCTAATATCGACTATAAATTCCTCACAATACACATAAACAGTTCGATGACTTTGAAATATATGTTTTAGTATTCACATCTTTTCAAGAATACAAAAATTCTTATCGACATGGACGTATTTATATGGTTATGTTTGCATATTTTTGAGAGAAAAAGCTGTAGAAGACATCGACTTTATAATTTATGGACAAACCAATCAGATATAAGATAGTAGGTCATGAATTTTGGCGCGGACTTCATTCGTCCATTCGGTAAGTAGCGCTCTGGCTATCTAGCTGATGTCAATTCGTAGCCACCAACTGTAAGTCACAATTCTAATTCCCCTCACTGGTTTATAAGCCTTATTTAGTCATAGTTATTAGATAGGCATTCTGAAGGCCACTTTAACTTCGCTCAAAGGTCGTCCATATATTGTAGTTTAATCTGTTCTTCTAGTTTATATTTATCGAATACTGATGTTCAATTTCAAAAGTTATCCTTTCGCTGAACCCATGTGACAATAGATAGATGGTAAAAGTCATTACATAAATATTACTGACAATCACATATCACGACAGTCGAATGAATATTAAATTAGAACAATATATATAAGAGAACAATATTGTTTTCGATTAGATTCTCATTAGGCTTTACTCTAATCGGAAAAAATATTATTCGCTTATATATGTTGTTCTAATTCACAATATGGGAATATTTTTAAAATAAATAGCAGTTTCAGTTGCTCGAAGACTAAGATATTGAGCATAAAAATAAGTGTTAGTAGGATCAAACTGAAGGTGACAACTTTCATTTAATATTTTGAACGTAATCAATAAAGTTTTTCACATATTAACGTGTTATTTATCGAAATGAAGTTTGACTCTTCGTTTAATTTAATGAACGAGCAAACAATTTTATTATTGGCTTTGATTCAAAAATATTGAATAGGAACTAATGGATTTGATGGAATATCAGAATTTTATTGATCTTTCAATGAATTTAGTAAAGTAGGTTTTTGTTCTTTTCTAATTGTTTCAAAGCATAACTTTAGATTGTATTTGAAAGAAGTGACATCACTTCTGTTATGGCTATTTGAAATTTCTCTATTTCACTTTTATCATTTAATTGGAATAAACTTTACAAAATATTTCTTTTATTTAAACAAGAAAATAAATAGATGAACTAGCGAGAATATTCATAAACATTCGTTTATTTACATGAAGATCATGGATGATTTTCAAGGACTAGACGATTTATGGTCTATTTTACTGGTTTCCGGATTATTGAACGACAAAACTTTGAGTTGTTTGAGAAATCTTGAACCGGTTAGGAGTTTAGATGTTCATGAACAGATTAGATTATAGAGGAAAATTGTTATCTAAGATATTAATCGAAGATTTTGAAAATATCTTTGAGACAATTTGAATTTTAGGTGATGTAATGAATCGAAATTAATATTTCTATTTAAATTACTTTTCACTCTACTAATTACAATATGAGGAGTTCTTCCAAATTCTTGATTAATTAATGTCAACATACAGCATTTTCAACACAATAACCTATTACACCATCACACAATAACTCATTGCATCACATTGTCTCTTCATATTATCCGAAACAAATGATTCATTTTAGATGTTTGTTTGAATACATGAGTTAACAAGTTGAAGTAAACGAATGCAAATTAATGATGAACCACGAAAATCAATTCACGGTCGCTTGACAAACATATATTTGAAATAATTCATCGAAATCTTAAAGATTAATTGGAGAAACCTTATTTCTCATTCAACATCGAAAGACATGCTGAATACAAAGTGTCTGGCATATCAGTAACCCACGTTTGTACTTCAGAGTTGGTGTGGTTGGGACAAATCATAATGGTGTCATTATAAAGAAAAATACTGAAAAATGTTATCAACAATTGTTCATCACTGCTAAACTACAATACAGGTATTTGAAATTATTATTAATGGCTTTATTCAATATTATATTAGTACAGTCAATGTATAGGGGAGTATGTATGTCTTATATTTATCATATTCTCTATGAAACGAGTGTTAATGAGATTTGAAGTGATGTGAGAAATTTAGATACCATCATGATGTGTAGGAATAAGAAAAATTAATTTGCTTGTGATTCAATAGTCGACAAATAAATTTATTTGAATGGTTGAATTCATGAGTCGATCTAATCTAGACCACCACTGAAAACCTAAAAGCACTGGAAGGCCGTTTCATGCTATTGTGGGACTCCTCAGAAGTACGCATAAACGATTCCGCTCATGGGACTCAAATCCACGTCCTTCAGTTTCGTGCACAAACGCTTAACCTCTAGACCAATGAGCTGCCCGGTATTCTGCGGCGTTAATGTCTAAACTCAATCGGTCGTCCAGTGCTTCCAGATTTTAAATGGCTGTCTAGCTTGGATCGGCTCATGAATTCAACCATTAAAATTGATACAATCTCCACAAATCTCCATTCAGACAAATTTATCACTGTGAACGAATAACATATTATACTCAGAAATATATTAGTGGCTAAACCTAACCTGCATTCCCAATCCTAGATACTTATAATCAGTAGTTATCGATGTTTATTTCAAAGCTTCGTCATGAATTGCTACGAACTGGTGTGACTGTGAAGGTAAGGCGAAACAACTGTTCACCTTTTTTGATGTCTATTCAACTGATGTCAAACGGTGATAACAATTACTGGTAAAAAATACTCATTCAGTGAACTGTGTTTATTCGTTAGGAAACTAGTGGGACAGCAGATGGTATCTCCTCATAATAACAGGCTAAAATAATACACTAATCTGAGAACAATCTATGGATTGTTGCACGAGATAGAGCTACTTCGTCTTACATTGATGATGAGTTTTATATTTTTCAACCACTGATGTAATGAAGCAAATTACCGTTCACCTTTTAGCAATTAATGGGTGGTTATTAAGAAATGTAAACATTTTATTTGAAGATTGAGAACGCAAAGATAAAATGTACCTGAGTAGACGTCGACAATACAGTGATATTTCGACATTGGAGAAACGGATATGCTTTACAATCCATGGTTCATAGACCTAGTTCATTTTTCTGTTCACTAACGTTCTGAGACATCAATACGATTCCCTGGATTACTTATCGATTAAATAAGTGTTGGTATTTGAAATAACAAGTGAATTCCATAGAAAACCTTTTCTGCTATCGAAGTATCGAGTGTGATGATAGTAGCTTATAATTAAACCACCTACAAGACCCTTTTGTATTTTTATCTACTCCTTGATCACCAAAGTTGAGAATGGAATAATACTCGTTATTACTTACCTAATGTACTTTTTGAACAAACTACGCTCTTGGATGTTAAGATCAAGGCAAATAAAAGTTTGACCTGAAATAAAATTTGTGTAATGGGTATCATAAATATCATTTTAACTGTTAGAGAATGAAGAATAATCGCATCATCGATATATGATATAACAAAATGATAATTTCATTTATCGAACTACATTATGCTGGTGATGCACTTGTCACTAATCAATGTGTGACATCTTTTGATAAATAAACAACATGAAAAAGACTAATAAATAGGGTTGAAGATTTTCATATAAATATCTGGGATTCTGGTCGGTTTTACCACATTAAAAGATAGGGTGGCTGAGACCGTTGTAAAAGTGTATTCTCTTTCTCAAAGTTGTGAAATATTTCCCTCTTGAGGTTATATGTATCATAAGTTGTGAACTTATATGCATTATAACTTTCAACTAATGCCTATGGTGACATGTATATTCAGTGGTTTTTGTAACGACAAAATAAAAACCACATTTTTTTCTCTAATTTGTCACACTTTATATGCAACCACATTTTTATTCAATATCTATTGTTTTTCTGTATCAATCGTTAAAAAGAACGACTTTAATTGTTCGGATATATATACTGATATACTACTGCGTTGGTTGGAAAATAAAAACGCTATCTCCGCCATCTGCCTTTCTGCTTCATTGGCCACGATCTGTGATTGAAGACTATAATGGTGTTATAACGTCCTTTTAGGCCTTTCTACACTACATTGGATTTTTGGCCCGGATTATTATTAAATAATACTATTGGATTCAATCTTTCTCATTACGCCGTTGATGCCACCACGTGCAGAGGAGTCTTCATTAATCAAGTGAACTCATTTGTGGTTTAATATCTCAGAGAGCAGCTTACAAGTAACGTTTATTTCATAACAACTGTTACTATCTTGTAGTTTAATATATCATTTGTATTGTACCTGTAATTTGTTACCTTTTGCTTTACTCGTAGACATACACCTGGG